CAAAAAAGGAAAAGAGAAAATAAGAGGGGGTTTGGAGACTATGGATTAGAAAGCCATTATTCTAATAGCCAGGGGAACACCATAGGCAGTAGGCTACACTGGCAGACCATCTCCTCCATTTCCCCAGAACTGTAAAAGTTAAAAAACAGAAATAAATCTGAAAGCAGAGACTGGAACTCAAAACATTCCCCTCTCAGGATAGTGTAGCATAACTAGGCTACATAGCCCCTTCTTATGGTTCAACTTGATGAGCAAACACATGATGAAATGAATGTCAGAGGCAGTTGTCAGGTCTACAGTACAGGAACCTATATTAAATCAAGTCTGCTGGAGCATGGTAATTACCGTCCTGCAGCACACTCCAGCATAATGTGTATCAGCGTCCCCGCACTGAAAAATGGTGGCAGAGGAACTTTAACTAAAGCTTGTCAAACGCGTTTTAGTTAAAGTGCCCCCACCGCCATTTTTCAGTATGGGAACACTGATACATGTGGTGGCTCTTGGAGCTACTCTAATTAAAGTATCCTCACCCCCCCCCCCTAAAGGTGCCCCCCCCCCCCCCCCCCACTCCCAGAGCACATATATAAACACCCTACAGTTATATAAAATGGGTTGCACCTAACATATTGTAAAAACAGGCATTTTAAGGACATCACCTTTCAGCTTCAAGGAAGAAAACAAAGATTAAATGAATATGAAAACTTTTTCACCTATACCTGTTCCTTCCAGATCAAGATTAACACATCTGCAAAGGAACATAAGGAAAGCTTGCACTTACATTGTGCATGATTTATTTACACCTTGGATGAAGGACTCCAGTACTTTGGTGTCTAGGACATTGTTACTTTTTTGAGGATCGTTAGTTCATACAGTATTCATCGTTATCTATACTTTTAAAAAATAAATTCTATATGGCCTCAGTGCAAAGGAGATCGTAGGATATAAGCAGAGCTAACATTTGCTTTATGTTATTGGATGATAGAAACTTCATTGTGCATACACATTCAGTCTGCATTCACTTCATGCCAACCATAAACACAACTATTTTAATAGCATGAAACCAAATACAAGTTTTTGTGTATTTGATAAATCTATATTCATAGAAGCCCTGGGAATGGAATAACAACCTTCAGTATTCGGTATATGAACTTACCCTGTGTCATTTTTTCACATTTCTAAAAAATTACAGATTTTTAAAGACACAACTTTATTAAAACGAGCTAAGTCATTTTATGCCCTTGAGATGCAGATATAAAGCATAGAACAAGTAGCTTAACTGCAATGTGGAATCAAACACCACTCTTTTTTTTTTTTTTTTAAGGGAAAGGTTCCTAGGCACGACAAGAGAAATAATAAGCATTCACATTAGAGGGAAGACCAAATGTTTTAAATATTCTATGTAGAGCGATCTTTATAAGTCAAGACTGGGAAACAAGTAAGACTGTGTGGGAAAGTTTATATTAAGACCACAAGTGTCATTCCTAGCCTATGAACAAACAAAACCAAAATGCAGAGGAAGAAATTGGGGTTTAAGTAGGAAGACTGAAGATTATGAATTTGTTAGACTGAAAATTATGAATTCATTAAATATTAAAATATGTTTAAAAACAAACGAATCCTTAATTGGCGTAAACTGACATGGATCTGACCACACATGTGAACCTTTTCATCCAACAATACCAGAAAATAGGAATCCATTTATTCTTATGTTAACTTATAAGGAAAAGTCTTCATAAATAATTTAAATTATTTAGTTTCTAGAAAATTCAAACTGTTTAAATTCCATTGTCAACTTAAATATTACAAGTCAACTAACAATAAAATATAGTATACAAATAGTACATACATAACCTTATATAGATATGAAGCTGATACATGTAAAATGATTGTTGATATTATAAAAAGTCCTTTACTAAGTACCATCCAGATGTCTCTGATCAAAGCACTTGTTGTTAAAAAATTATTAAATATTACCTAACAGTTTACAACTCTTAACCTGGTATCACTGATATGTATAAAAAATATATATATAACTTTAAAAATACATTTTATTTAAATGATTTGGATTCTTTTACTTGAAAAAAAATTATTTCAGCTCAGCAAGCTGGCTTTCCTATCTGTCACTTAATCAAGAGTGTTTATACGGAACACTACAATTCTGTCAGAGCAATCAGGGTGGTCATGGAAACCATGAATTGAAATAAACACCTTGAAATCCTGCAAATGAGATGTTTTACATCCACTTGGTGGCTTCTTTATTTCACAGAAAAATGTACATCATATCATGCACAGGCATGAAATCAAATCAATGGAACTCTTGCTCAGCAACAGGCAGCAAGTACGCACATGACAATATAACGCAGCCAATGATATCTGTAGTTGAGCAAGGAAGTTGGTAAGCTGCGCTGAGGCAAAAATGAGGTAAAAACAGATGCGGCAAGCATAACAAAAGTGGCATATATAAATATTATGCACATATGTATGAAGCATCAAAAGCTACTACTACTACACAGAAGTGGTGGTGGCAAGTCTTCTACAATATGTAATGTTCATGTGCACTGCAATGAAAAGGCAAGCTATAAGAAACATCTTGAGGGTAAGTTTTATGAACTTTTTGAAAGTCATGTAAATGACCTAAAAGACCTGTTGAAGGATTGTCTTAGCCTTAAGTCTTGTTGCTGACAAGAGACATTGAGGACTACTATGTTCTACATCATGTAGGTCATGACATGACACTTGACAACAAACAGGAGAGAAGATTTTGGGTCAGAGGCAGGTTGGAAATATGGCGTTCCTTTTGAAATAAAATTGCTGCTTTTGTTATTGACAATGGTGCATGAAAGCCAAACGGTAAGAATGAGGGCCTCAGGCAGACTTTATGCTTAACACATGACTAACCATTTAATCATGTCTTAAATACTAGTCCAGCTACTCATTCATGTAATTAACAGTGTGAGAAAATGGAAAATGGGCCACAAAATTACTATATTTACTCAAATCCACAATGACTTCAAATTTAACCTAACACTCCCCAAAATTAGATTCTACAGATGGAAAATATATAAATGTGTTATAATTTTCCATGTGCAGAATCTAATTTTTGGAGGTTTGTCTTTCATTCATCCCTCTCCCCCACCCTTGCCCACATGCCAACTGCTGCAGTGAGGAAAGCAATGGCAGGGGGGAGGCAGTGGGGGGCAGTCAAGCAGCTTGACCCCTGCCCCTTGTCCTCCCACACCTTGCCACCTCTCTTCCCTTACCACTTGCCCTTTCCATTTCTGTTCTCCCCGCCAGCCCCACCCCAACATTGCTGCCTTAGGCCCCACTCTCCCTCCTGGCAGGTTCTGTCTCCCTTTTCCCCATTGCTTACCCTTGCTCCACTCTGGCAGGCCCTGACCCTGCTCTAGCGTGGGGTATGCAGTGGGTGCTTGTTGTGGCTGCAGTATTGCCCAATAGCAGTGGCAGATCCAGATGACCCATAGAGCCAGGGCAAGAGATGTCTTGCCACTGCTGCTGCTGCCTTGAGACTGGGCTAGAGCCAGAGCAAGCACAAGCTCTGTGCCCTGGCTAGAACAGAGCCAGAGCCTGCCAGAGTGCAGAAAGGGGACACACAGCCGCCTGGCAGGGGGCAGAGGCAGGCAGCAGGAGGCCGAAGCTGTGGGGAGGTCAGGGAAGAGGGAAAAGGAGCTGTGGCTCTAACCCAGACCCAGGGTCAGGGCCAAGCTGCAGAAGCTGCCTGCTTCCCCCTCCACCACCTTGTACCCAAATGCAAGACAAGGGGTTCCCCCCCCCAGCCTTGTATAATTGTGGGGCAGGGGGAGGATTCATCTTGGATTTGACTAAACACAGTATTCCATTAAATGTCTGTAATAATCATGTGGCTGATATCCATTAGGTTAAACTGAACATGTGGAAGGCTCTCCGTTGTGCTCCAGTGGCAGTCCCAGGACTGGAACCAGCTGATAGATGGTCCCAAGCCCAGAACCACACCGGTTCACCTGGCATGTGATTTTCTACTTGCCAATGCAGGGGAGCCTGGAGTTATGATCTCAGGTTCCCCCTCCATGAACGAGTAGTAATGGCAAAATTTGAATCTGGTCGTGTATCCAAAATTGGTGCATCACGCTGTCTATACACAGCATGGCAGGAGGCATGATTCTTGGGATCAGGAAACAGATCCCATCGCACCATTAAGTGAATGCATGCCAAGGGCCAAAGACTCGAAGTTTTGCTGACAAAGTGGCATGCCCTGCATTTAGAATTTGTTCAACTTAATTATGGAACAAATTTGTGAAAAAGAGTGGGTGCTTTAGATGTGCAGAGACTTGTTATTGTTGTAAGAGAGACTTTAACTGTTTGTCGTGCTCGTAGTGCAGGGTTTCATCAGGACCTCTTTCTTACAGAAAAATCAACAGGCAAAGGGAAAAGTTCTCCTTCATCAGTGGCTCCAAGATGGAAGTTTGGTTGGAAGTAGTTCATTTTCATGCCACCCACCTGAAGGATTGCCTAAAATGTGTTGAAAAGTATAAGCAAAATTGTAAATAAGAAGTTGAGAAAGTGGTCTCATGGCAATTATCAGAAACACAGATATTTCAGCAACAGAGGGATTTGTTCCCAAAATAAAATCAACTCTTATCACTTGGTAAAAAAATCAATAATCAGAGCATCACCTGACAAATGACTTTGTATAGTGGGCAAAATCTAAGGGTCAAACCATTGAAAACATGTTAGCCAATAACATCCTCAGTGAAACCATCAAGAAAATCAAAATCTGCAATATTTTTTGTCAAGCCTACTGCCTGTTTTTTGACAGCATGACAAACGGTTGATTCCACTCAAGCCAAAAATCTTGTTCTTGCATCAATAAATATTTTTTAATCATATTTCCACATCTGAAGACAACATATTAGCAAAAGACAAATTCAATGACTTAATCAGTATAGTTTCTAATATGAAATGTAAACCTTGATGAATTTTAAATTAATCCTGATATTACTTACGTGATGTTTTTGAAGCAAGAAGAGTGGTTCTAGAACCAGCTAAGAACTGGAATCCTAAACTATTTACCTGATCTTCATCAGACTGATCAGAAAAATCTGTGAGAGAAGAAATATAACGTTAAATTGAACTGTTACACAATGTTTGCAGCAAATTTTCAATCCACATTAAGGATTAGATTGCCCTTGCCTAAATGCCACTGGAGCTGAATCTGCACAAAACCTTTACAGAAAGGCACAGAACCACAGCAGACCCTATGAGCAGACATCACTTGGTCTATGCCCCTTCCTGAAAAATTTATTCAGAAAGTGGTACAGAGGAAGCAGAGCCATGGCCATTCTCCCACTACAATGTACTAAGTGAACAAGACTAATGCATTTTGGGGTTCAAGCTGCATCATCCATGAAAACAGTACAACATACATATTATACAGTCCCAAAAGAAACTGCTCTGCCCAATTCCTCCCATAGAAGGATGTGACTCTGCAGTGCCATCTATTTATGGAGTCTATTCAAATTGGCTGAAAACTACTATAAAGCATTCAAACATCAAGACTTTAAGAGTTCTGTCTTATCCTGCAGTGTATGGCTAGTGAGAAATGCCTAACCTTAGTTACAAGATAAGCCCAGGCATATTAAATTTTATATTGTGCACAGTATACTGTAATAGACACTAGATGATTCTAAGGGTAGCACATGTATACTTAATTCCACCATCAACACCCCAAAGAAAACAGAAGGAGAAAGGAGATAATGTTTAGCAAAGTAAATATTGCTGAATAGTCAACATTTAACAAAACAGCCCACCAAACATCATTCCTTGTTCTCCTTTTTCTATTGATAAAAAAGGAGGAATTACTTTTGTAGTAGTACCACATAAAACAGATGTGCACATTCCCTGTAGAGGGCCTTTACTGTAGCACTAGGTTTTGTTTTCTCAGTCCCACAGAGTATCCCAAAGTGCTTTGCTCCAAAGGGGGAAGGAGAGAGAGCAGAGTGGACAATCCAGTGCCCCTTTCCTGCCATGAGGTAGTGCAAGCAGGCTGCAGGGACCCACACTACTTGCTGATCACTGACAGGCTGCCCAGTCACCCACATGTAAGCTGTCAGTGACTTGGTACACTGACAAGCTGCCCTCACTCAGGCTAGGGACAGACATTACACATAAACTGGTTTAAGTGATCAGAAATTGGTTTAAACCCGTAATGAAACATAAGTTCAGTGCACATAAACCAGTGTGTGTGTGTGTGTGTGTGTGTGTGTGTGTGTGTGTGTGTGTGTGTGTGTGTGTGTGTCCATGTCCAATTTCACTGGGACAGGACAAAGGCACACAGAACAGTGTCTGTTTAGGGCTTTTGGGAGCTAATCAGCAGGTCAGCTGGTAATGTCCCTCCTTGGAAAAAGCTGTTTAAGAAGAGCTTGAACTAATGAGAAAAGCTTTTGTTTTGCTGATGGGCTGATAAACACTGTAGTTTTATCAGCCCTCCTGCTGGTTTGCAATCCTGACAGGTTTGCAGACAGAGAGATGGAGATTGAAAAGCTCAGTATCATCAACAGATGCATGCACTACACATCCCCACTTTGCCTGAGAGTGCTAGACTGGGGCTAGGGTCTAACCACACTCCTGTCCCTTGAGCAGCCTGAGACGGTGCAGGCCAGGGTGGGGGTTTAACGCGCCACCCCCCCGACCCCCTGCTAATCAGAGCGTCCTGTCAGGGCCTGCACACACACCCGCCCACCCCCCTCAGCTCAGCACTATGGAAGGGAAGGGAGGGCTGCTCTAGCACCCCCTGGCTTGTAGCCTGAGCCCCTGCAGGCATCTGCCTGCATTTCTGGAATGAAAAGAGAACGTCTATCCACATCCAAATCAGTTCAAGCTTTGCAGGTTAGACAAACCTGCAAAGATTGAATCAATTCAGGCTCAGGCTTTTTGATTGTCTGGCCCTAGCCCCAGTCTCAGGGAGGCAGGAGAAAGCAGAACCACAGGGCTGAGTGACCCCTTATTGTGCTCTTGGCTGGGGAGCATGCCACCAAATGCTTTCGCAGAAACTTTGTAGCAGTTCAGCTGGGGGGCTCTGTGCATCTGAGCCTCATAGTGCTATATACTGAGGCACTATAAAAGTGCTGCAGTCTACAAATGCATGTCTGTCTGTGGCCTCTAAATGCACCTCCATGGGCAGCATGATCTGAATGCTTTAACACAACATTTTAATTGTATATTTTATTCTGGAATGGCCAAAAACATTTTAAGGACCTTGAACAAATTGTAAATTGTGTTGTATGAATATTTCACCTTTTGAACAGTGTTTTATAATAGTCTTATTTCATTAACCAAAATGACAAACTAAATGAATCTCAAAATCAAAAAATGAAATCAATTATGTTTAGAATACCTCTAGATCGAAGTTCATAACACGGTCAAGTTAAAAAATGTTTTAGACAAAACTTAAACCTACAAACACACATAGCAAATCCTAAATACATGAGAGAATACCACAGAAAGGCAGGTATGTATAAGATTATGTACCCAAATCATAAACAATATTTGAAAAAGAAAACACAGGATACTATCTGGCATGCAAGTAAGTAAAAGGGAAAATACATATATTTGCCCTTGAAGTGACAGTCCTACAACCACAATGAAAGATTTGCTTGGAAGAAATTTCTGAGGTCAGCTCCAATCACCTGCTGTCCCAGATAATCATATTGTATAATCTCTTTCACAAAGTGGTCAAGCTCCCCCCATCAGAACTAGCTTGACTTTTTTGCCCCAGTACTCTTATTGAAAAACTGTTCCAGAACTTGACTTCTCTGATGTTTAGAAGCTGGTAATTTCCATCTTACGTTCCTAGCTAATTTGTTTTTGGGGCAAGATTCTTCTATAGGGCTGTGTTCTTGTGTTCAAATCCTGTAGGAGAATTCTCTCAAGTTTATTTTTCTGGTAAAAAAAATAATTACCTTGCAGACGCCTGAAGAAACATTTGAATGCTGAGCCCCTGAAGAGCAGAACACTTGCAGTGTTGATACTGCATAGCCAGGCTCCCCTATACACGTATTTCCACATGCTTTACAGGCTCCATCAGTCTGCCTGGAGACAGATAGCAGCAGTGCACAGGGCATCCTTGATTGGATGACCCAGGCTACTCAGGGTCAACCTATGTCTCCCTGCAGCACAATGCTTGGATTGTGAAAGGGGTATATACTGCTCCCTGCTTGGCTGGAGCCCTAGAGTTCAGAAAGTGATGCACTGTATCACTGGGAGTGGGAACAAAGCAACCTGGAATGCTAGAGAATTGTGCTGTGGCTTCTTTCAGAAGAGAATGCGTACAGGCATTTTGCTCTCCCAGAAGAAAGTGTCCTGAGACTGATTTAGCTCTGGTTGTTCCTGGATTTTTTTTTTTTTTCCTGGAATGGCTATTTTTGCTCTGAAACAAAAATCCTGAACATCTGTACACTCATGGTTCCTTCTGGGAGAACAGCGACTGTCATAGGAAAAAAATTGTGTGTGCATGGTCTTAGTTAACCAGATCTTCCCTGGTGTTTACTTCAACGATGTACTTTCTTGGTTCAATGGTGACTCCTTACACATTTAACGTTACTAAATTAAATAATCCAAGTCCATTCTTGTATGATAGTCTCTTCTCCAGTCCCCCAATGACACTCATGTAGCCCTCCCCTGCAACTGTTCCAGTTTGAATTAATCTTTCTTCAACAGGCCAAACAGAACTGTGAACAATATTCTGAAGGGACCTAGCATCATGGCATTAATACTTCTCTATATCTACAGGAAATATCTCAACTCATACTTAGGATGTGCTCAGTTTCTCATCACACTGGTTAGCTATTCTGTGATTAATGAATGCACCCAAGTCTTTACACTCCTCTATTTTTCCAATTGATAAGCTGCAAGTTACAATATAAATTGCAGGACTTACCCTTTGTATGATTAAATATCATCCCATTTCTATTACTACATTCTTCTAGACCAGCTGTTCCTCCTGTATGAGATACTTCCAACTCCTCTTTGTATTACTGATGCCTCCAAAATTTGATTCATTAGCAAATTTAATTCTCTCTCTCCTTTTTTTTTTATGCCCCAAGGTCAATAATGAAAATATTAAAGATCAGTCCCAACTCTGATCCTTAAGAAATTCTCCCTTCTAGCCAGCAGATGCTCCTGCACTACAACTGGTTGTCATTTCCCTTTCAATCAGCTCCTCGCCATTATAATGTTTGTATTAATACCCATATTTTTCTTGACTAACAGATTTCCCATGTGGGGCCGTATCAAATGTTTAGTGGAACCTAAAAACACCCTATCAACTGCATTTTCCTCAACTTAAAACACAAAGAAACAAAACCTTATCAAACCAAAATATCAGATTAGTTTGGCACAATCTACTTTTGGTAAAGCAATATTAGATTTTATTCCATTTATTTCTGTGTTTTCATTTATTCAGAATAAATTTTGAAAGAAAAGAATAATAGATTGTTTTGAAACATTTAATATTCTTTAAAGCAAAGCAAGCTTTATAATACTTTTACAAAACTCAAAAGCCCTAGGTTGTTACTCAGATAATATAAATTACATCTTTGAACACTGAAACTAACCAAAATATTCAGCTGGTGTTTCTAATTTGGCAATTACCTTTTAATTACCCTATCATTACTCAAGGATGAAAGATTCCAGTCTAAATTCCTATCATATCTTGGGTTACAGGGACATCGTTTAAAGTCCTACCTGGAAAAAGTCTGACAAGACTGACAGGAGGTTTGTTGGTATCAATAGTTAGCTTGTGGTTTGCTGTTTTTGAAGGTTGAGCTGGAAAGCAAATTAACCGCAGGGGCAGTCTAAACTTGCACTGTGCAACTCTTGGTACCCCTAAAATAAAAGGATATACATCATCAGTATTAGTGTAAACTCTGTATTCCAACGGCAGGATTACAATTGCTCAAAGAGGACACTTTTAGTGTAGGTCAGGAACTCATTAAAAACAAACCATATACACTTTTGGATTATTGTTCACTTTCAACCTAAACATGCTTTTACGCTGAATCATATCCAGTTACTGACAAATTAAAACTAAGTATTTTGGTTTCAGACACTATAAAAATAATTAACCAAATCTATTAAATTTGTACACCCGCATTCACAATGATTAAGTAACCATAACAGACTATTACCAGCTTAGTCAGACCTTCAGCCAAATCATGCCATGCTAATATGACTGAGGGTTACATGGTTTATGCCTCATGTTCTGAATGCATTCTACAGGCACACCAACAATGTGTCTACATATTCCTCACAGTTATGAAATTTCACACTTCTTCAAATCAGTCTTTTACTTGTTATACTCTTAAAAATATATCCACTACCAAATGGCAGAAATTGTTGGTTTAATATAAAAGGTCTATCAGATGGAAACACTTCTTTAACCTCACCAGTAAAATTCAAAAGTATTTCTACATGTTACCTTTTCTCTGACACATTGTAGCAAAAAGAACACATAATTGTAGTTTTAAAATTAAATAACAGCACAAAACATCCTACAGTAACTACAGTGAGGTATAGAACATATCACAGACACAGGAAATTATCACTGCATTCAGAGAAGACCTGAGCAAGATGCAGGGCCCGGGGCAAATCAGCCTGTGCGGGGCCCCACTCCTGGATGCGAGGAACCCGGTGGCAGATTCAGCAGCGGGGCAGGTTGGAGGAGTGCTGAGCAGCCCGCCAGCCATGAAGCCGGCAGCAGCACAGACTTGCTGTGGCCACTCTGCCCGGCTCCGCAGACCCTCCAAAGCGCCCCCGTCCAGGGACGGCCCTGACTGTATAACATACAATTCTATTCTCAGATTTAAAAAAACATAGTTTCATAGTAGCTAGGGTCAGGAGGGACCTGAACAGTTCATCTAGCCGGACCCCCTGCCACAGGCAGGAATGAATGCTGGGTTCACAAGACCCCAGACAGGTGATCATCCAACCTCCTCTTGAATTTGCCCAAGGTAGGGGCGAGGACCACTTCCCTGGGAAGTTGGTTCCAGATTTTGGCCACCCTAACTGTAAAATATTGCCTTCCGATCTCTAACCTAAACCTATTCTCCATCAGCTTATGACCATTTTTCCTTGTCACCCCAGGTGGTGCTGGGGAGAAAAGGGCTCTGCCTATTTGCTGTTGATCTCCTGTGATGAGCTTGTAGGCAGCCACCAGGTCCCCCCTCATCCTCCTCTTGCTGAGGCTGAACAGGTTCAGGTCCTTCAGTCTCTCCTCGTAGGGCCTGTCCTGCTGCCCTCTCACATATTTATTTCCAATTCAAGTGTATCTTAGAATTTTGTATTCCTGTATCTGTCAGTCATGTGATCCATGTGAAAAAATAATTAAAATTAAAAACTGTTTAAATAATATGATTATGTATATAATATAATAATATAGGATAGTAATAGGACAATCATCTCTACAATTGTAATAACTGTCAATTTTAATAAAAATATCTTTTCCCCCCAAAACTAATCACAAATTGTCAAGAACATGTACAAATATACTTACAGACCTAATGCTTAAGATCATAAGTGTCATACTTGGTCAGACCAATGATCCATCTATCCCAGTATCCTGTCTCTGACAGTAGCAAAAGTGGATGCTATACAGGGTTAGTATTGAACCAGATATCTCTAGAGCAGCAGTGCCTAACCTTTTTACCCCACGGGTCAGATGGGTGGTGCCAAGTCCCTTCACAGGCTGGATCCAGCCAATGGGCCCGATCCAGCTGAGAGAGATTTACACATCCCAACCCTAATCTGTCCACTTGGGGTGCAAGCGGGACAGAGTGGCCCCAACTTGGATATGTGTGTGGGGGGG